CCCCAAAACCCCAAAACCCCAAAACCCCAAAACCCCAAAACCCCAAAACCCCAAAACCCCGTACAGTACAAGAACAGTTGAACTAGTCCAATTCTGAATAAATAGTTACATTATTATTCAGCATCACCCACTGTTTTCGGAGGGGTCAGGGATATCTCTCTTGTAGATTTTGGGTTCTGTGGGAGCAGGGTTGGAGACTAGGGGGGTTAGAGGGGACATACCTGAGTCGGATTTTGTAGAGTGGGGTGGGGTAGCGCTCTTGTCGAGCTCGTTCATGGTTTGGTAGGATTTAGCACTAGGTTCATCCTTATCAGAAACCTTCTTAGGGGCAGCTTTGACTGGCTCGGGTGCTTTCTCTTTAGGAACGTTGTCTAGAAGCTTGTAGACCAGGACTAGAGGGAGACGCTTGACTGAGACTCAGTCCTCTACTATGTTGGAATAAGTGTTCGACTTGTAGATAGTGGTTTTGAAGTTCCTCCATTTGGAATCGATAAGAATGTTTACTTCATTGTTGCTAGTGCTAGGGTCTTTATTTAGTCTGTCAATAGTCGCAACTAGTTGAGCATTGGGCTCAGTCTCCTTGTGTTCTTCATTAGAAGCAGAAGTTAATAGAGCTGTGTTGAAGTTTTCCTCGACTGATGCCCATAAAGAATTTATATCTTCCTCTGATAACTCAACTCCACTAAAATCAAGCTTTACCATCAAATATCTTTGCTGCATTGAAGTATAAACAGGAGAGGTGTTATCGTTTTCTGCTCGGTAAGATACAAGAGTGTGAAGCAGCTTGGATTCTCCTTGAGTTGTTTTAATGTCATTTATAATGTTTCTCATAGTTATTGGAAGAGTGTATGTACAAAATGCATCAGCATAGCTTTCGGATGTCTGTCCTTTGAAATATGTATCAATAAATCCTGTACTTCCTCCAACTAATTCAGATGTGAATTCTCCTGTTTTATTTATTTCAAGATTTCTGATTGTCGTTAGCATTAGTTCCAGCATTCATGCCTGAGTGTTTGGGCTTCCATAGAATGTTGAGATTTCCTCTGAGAAGTAATCTGCATCTATATCAAATATTATATCTGAAGCAAGTTTGAACAATTTAAGATTAATTTACCAAGAATAGAAAGCAGAGCTTCACTTGTTGGGAGAACAGGCATGACTAATAACTCAGGATCTTGTTCTTGTTGATACTGTTCACATTTGGCCTTGAAATCTAGGAATACTTGACCAATTGCTTCAGTGGCATCATCTTTCTCATAATCGGCAGCTTGTGTAACTACAAGAAAATTATAAGAAAACATTAGGATTATGAAGCAAAAGAGTCTAAATTCTCCAAACTAATTTTGTAGAATATTTTGACAAAAGAAGTGTAATCAAGAAACTTTGGACGCTCGATCTTACATAAATTTACAAGTTTTTCTGTCAAGCATTCATATCCAAAACCTTGTCCTTCCAAGTTCAGAAGAATGTGAAAAACTGCGTTGAGATAGTGATGCTCAAAAGGGCTAGGCTCCTTCTTTATCGATGTTAGGGGTGGGCCATAATAATTTCAGATTGCTTTATTGGTCCTTTTGCTATATGCTTGCATCTAAATATAATCGTTAGTATTGTCAACCTAAAAAATGAGTGGATAAAGGGTTTAACTTGTAGTAAATAACCAAAAGTAATCAAATATGTGATTGAGTCTCGGACTCGACTCTTAGGCATAGATTTTAGACATACTTAGTTTATTTTTAACAATAATTCAATACTATTAAATAAGTCAGGGGTTTTGGGGTTTTGGGGTTTTGGGGTTTTGGGG